TTGTGGTATTCCTCTAGGGCGGCCTATGTGCAGCAGTGGAATTTTATTAGGCTGTACTAATAATGGCGATGATGATCATTAGGTACTCAGGTACAATAGAGTCAATCACGATTCACGACTTATTTTTTTAAACCTTTTGAACCTTTTGCCATTAGTCAGTGCGATAGCGATGAGCAGTCTGTCTCGTCAAGGTCTCGATATCGCTACCTCGTACAGCTGATTGCCTGGTATGAGTCGGCGAGGCATGTGACACTTTTTATTTAATTTTAATGAAAAAGTTCTTGCGCAAATTCTTAATTATTTTATAGATAGAGGACAGGTTACATCGGCATCTACGAGCACTGATTACTAATTACTTTTGTAAAGTAACTACATATTATCTACCTATAAATATTTTTAATTACGTAGGTACTGCAAGAGAACAATATGATGTAATAAATTAGCAAACAAAGCAGCGCATCGTGTCTAATAATGAAAAGGTCTCTATTATTTATTATGCGTTTTTTTATAAACTGAAGTAACAAACGAGCTTACAGTCCACCTGATGGTAAGTGGCTACTGCAGTCTATAGACTCCTTCAACTTCAAACAAAGAAGGCCTCAGATGCGTTATCTCCTCTGAGGAATAAGAAGGAATGCTTTACAGCCGGTCATTTATACTGGCTCTTTTTACCGTTGCGATCGGAACACAACAATGCACTGCTATTTGTATAGTAATATGTAATAATATGTAAGAGTGTGATACTTATCCAGTCTAGACTCTAGTGTTTTTTTTTTTTTATAGGAATGGGTGACAAACGAACACACAGTCCACCTGATGGTAAGTGGTTGCTGTGGCCCATAGACATCTACATTTATCCTCGTTTGTGAATCAAAATGCAGATGCGTTGTCACCCATGAGGACTAAGATGGAATGCCTCTTTTCCAGTAAAAAGGGTCTCCGGTTCTCTACACTCACCATACGAAACACGCTGCTATTTGACGCTGGTATTCTGTGAGAGCGTGGTCCTTCCCCGGTCGAGCCGACCCATTCGTGCTACAACTATACTACTAATTATTAAACGCATAATAAATAATAGTGTTCTAGAGAGACTTCTAGAAAGTATCCACTAATTAAGAAACGACCGCAATCCAATATCCAATATTATATAGATTTTGGTGACCTTGTTTTTGTATAAAAATAGTAAGTACTTTTATTTTGCCGACCGAATTTAAAGTCTGCGTTTCACACTATCGTGTGTTGTCCCAGAGTCACTGGCGCTAAATATGCAAGGTAAACAAATATCGCATGGGCGGACGTCACGTCATACAGTGATTACTCTACTGTTTCCTTAGCAAACATATTGATAAGCTATGTTGCCCTGGTAACTAGATAGTACCAAATAGTATTGTTTCATACTTCCAGATTTTATTACTTATAATTTTTGTAATTAACCTTTTTTAAAAACCCCTTGGTAGTAAGTATTGTTTACATTCCATTACAGCACATAAAAAGTTCACTGCTGAACATGGGCCTCCCCATAGATTTCCTCATAAGGGGGATACTTACCTTAGTTGTCGCGCTTGGCAGGCGGGTTGGCAACTGCATTTTTTTTATTTTCGGTTGTTATTTGGAATATACTGCTGATCCGTTTTTTTCCTTCTGTTGCCTTCAATGGGACGGGACGATAACTTATGGGGTAGTGTGGTAAATTCTCACAAGGCCGCCACACGGTAATGTGTGCCTAAAATTGTTGATTTAAAAATGAAAAGGAATTGATAGAAGATTGATTATAAAAACACAAAGACTATATAAATCTTTGGAAAAACAGGCGGTAGTGGAGTAAGTGGTACCGATAAGGTTATCAATATTAATCATAAATTACAATTTTCATTTTGATATTTTATTTTTAAACGTCTTATATGTTTAATAATTTTACTCTAATTTAATATGGGGATATAGCTCAGTGGTAGAGCATTCGACTGCAGATCGAGAGGTCCCCGGTTCAAACCCGGGTGTCCCCTTGTAAAATACATTTTGATTTTTTTTTACTTTTTCGAAAAAACACCGTGCCATACTTTCTTTTCAACTATTATTTTTCTGGTTGAAGTCACACATTTCTTATGCAGTAGATTTTGCCCAAAATTCAGACAATTGTGAAATAGCAGCTTATATTCCTTAAGTTTTCTGCCGACCTTCTAAAGGAGACGGTACTCAATTCGACTGTATTTTTTTTATGTGTTACCTTACCGTGTTACCTCATAACTTTTTACTGGGTGAACTGATTTCGATGATTCTGTTTTTATTTGAAAGCACATGTGATCCCATACGAATTTGATCAAGGTCAGACGAATAGTTTTTGAGTTATTCTTAATAGTTTATATTGAAGTCGGCTTTAAAAAATGTTTAATTTTAAATTATTATTTCGTGATTTAAATAGAATCTATCACGCTATTTCATTACGGGAGTGGTAAGAGGTATTGTAGAATTGCCAGAAAAATGCTTCGGATAGATGGCGCTATAAGCATCTCGTTTACGCCAGGCGTAAAAAAGGTAGGACGGGGACGGCAGCAGCGTCTGGAACTACGATCGTCAATCCGTCTGCTAAAGTCAAATCCTCTCTAAAACGATGTCCAATGTCCAGCAGTGGACTTTTATGGGCTGACGAAGAAAAATAATTTTTATTCAACAAAATAATATGTAATGTTTATTTAGTTTATCACCTGTCATCAAGTGCCTGTCTGTAATCACCCGTTACTGGCCGATTCTCACCGCCCAGAACATCGACCGACACGAGCTAAGCAGTCAGAGGCGGGGGTTTGCACAGCCCCACTCGGACAGCGGTTAGATAGCTCAAAAACACTCAACAGGGAGTACACGATGATTGCCAACAATACCAATTCATAGAATAGAATAGAATAATTTTTATTCAATAGATTACATGTGTAATTCTTATTGAAAGTCATTTTTTACTTTACCACTGGTTCGAAAGAAAAACCTCTGTTCTGGGAAGAACCAGCAAGAAATCCAGCGGGTCTTTTTTTAAAGCATATCTTACATTAATGGATGTACAAACTATATAAGTACAAAATTTATTTTAGAAACAGCTTGGAAGCGACACCCCAGGGGTTATTATCAACCATGTATTCAATTATACTATAATAACCCTTTTTATACAGTTTCAACTTAACAAAACATTTAAACTTGGTAATAGAGATAGCCTGTACACTTTCCGGGACCTTGTTGTAATAGCGTATACATTGTCCCAAGAATGAATTACTGACTCTGTGGAGTCGAGAAACTGGTATAACTAGCTTGTGTTTGTTCCTAGTGTTTACAGAATGTATATCACTTTTTTTTAGTCAAAATATTATTTTTATATATATAATTTTATAAAACTACCTTTGTTTTTGTCAACATATCACAAAAACAAAGGTAGTTTTATAAAATTTTCATAAAATTTTCGTAAATATACTGAGAGGCCAAAGTAAATATATTTATTTCTTTAAATTTATCTCTAAGAGACTCTCAGTTTTAGGTTGTAAATAGCTGTAATGGCCCTCTTCTGTCAAACAAAAATAGTTTCTGAATCAGCCGCATTTTCCCATAGCAAAATCCCATAAGACATTATGCTATGGAAATAACTGAAATAAACTAATCTAGCTGTCTCGTCACTAGTGAGAGTAAACCAACATCATCCTCATCGCCATCATTGCCTTTCCCTTTTTTTAAATGCTTTGTGTCAGATAAAGCTGTAAGAGTCGCATATGCTAACAGCACTTACATCACAGAATATAGACGTCAGTCTGTAATATCGAAATAACTGTCTTTTATTGAACTGAGGGTTTATTTTTATGTCATTAAAATATGAATAATCATTTTATTCATGTTTTGATGACCTTTAAGAGCCGTGGTAGCTCAGATGGTTATAGCGCTCGCTGTACGTTTCACAGTACGCGAGCAACCCGGGTTCGATCCCCGCCGGCATCAATGATTGCAATTTTAAGCGCTGATTTACCACGTGCTCGGCGGTGAAGGAAAACATCGTGCGGAAACCTGCATGTCTGAGAAATAAGAAAATAATATTTAGGTACGAAGACATGTGAAGTTCGTCAACACGCATTGGGGCAGCGCGGCGGTCATTTCCTTGCCCTAAAACCCTTTCAGAAATGAGAGGAGGCCTGTGTCCAACAGTGGGACGTGTATAGGCTGTAACTTTAATAATTTTATCTGTCTGTCTATATGTTTGTCTGTTCGAGATAATCTTCGAAATGGCTGAACAGATTGCAATGAAACTTGACGAACAGAACGATCAGAAAAATTTGATTATTATTGAGAAATCGAAAAATTTATAAAGTAAATGGTCTCTGATGATTACGCGGTTCGCTAGTGTGTAAATATAGAAACTAAAATTATCATACTGCCCCCGCAGTCTAGTGCTAAGAATGTGTCCTAATTTTTCTCGTTGAATGACTGTACATACTTAATCTGTGGCTTTGTGCGCGAGAAAAGAGCCAGCCAGGAACTGTACCTGCGACTATAGTCGCAGGTACAGTTCCTGTAGAAACTTTAGTTGTATGTAATGTTTTATAATTATATTACAATTCATTAAGGGAATTACAAGAGCTAAGTGACCTCGAAAGACGCACGCACATATATACACAATTTTGTAAAGGAAAAGGCTTCGGCCGGCACGATTTTTAAAAAAAACTATTGATTGGACTAAAAATTAAAACACTACCTATTATTAATACGAGTATGTTGTTTGTAGAATAATCTGACAAAAAATAGAAATGATTGTATGTGTATAATAAGGTTTTTTATCCTTAAAAGTAATTTTTAAAGGTATCTGTGTGATTTTTTTCTATCGTATCAAATATCAAATTAATAGTATCACGTTTGCAACACACTACCTAACTGAAAAATATAATATATTTTTCTGATTTTATTTACTGCAATGGATCATATACTTCAAGGCATTATAAAACTTGCGTTTAGCTCCTGTAGTCCTCTTAACATACCTTATCAGTGAGTGCGGGGTCAGCTCCGTGCGCCAGCAAAAGTTCAACGATGTCTGCCGCATCAGCAGCGCACGCCGCGTGCAAGGCTGATGAGCCGACCTGGTAATTGGTAATTATTATTATTATTACTACGAGGTAGAACGTAGATGGTGTTGTAGCTATATTATGGTTGAAGAACAAAAGGGTCGTCACAACCGGGGAAGAACCACGCTCTCACATAATACCAGCCTAAAATATCAGCTCAATGCTGCTGTTTTTCGTATAGTGAGTGTAGAGAGCCGGAGACCCTTTTTACTGGAAACGAGACATTCATTTTAGTTCACAGGGGCGAGAACGCATCTCTGCATTTTGATTCTTAATCGAGGATAGATGTATAGATTACCTATGCGCCACTGCATTAACTTATCATCAGCTGGGCTGTGTGCTCGCTTGTTCTAAATTCTTATTCTAAAAAAAAACATTCCAAATCCACTGCTTAACATAGGAATGCCACAAACCACGGTCGTATGCCACACCTGCATCCATCAACTTCCTGCATTTCTTATCAGGTCGTCACTCCATGTAACGAGGGGCCACCCTATACTTCGTTTACTGGTATGAGGCTGCCACTCGAGAACCTTTCCTCCCATTCCGCTGGTTCTTCGAGTTATATGGCCGGCTCATTTCCACTTCAGCCACCTTCAGCTTACTAATCTGTTGGGCTGCGGTTACTCTGGTTCTTCTGCGGATATCCTCATTTCGAAGTCTATCACGCAGATAATTGGTAAATTTCTGTTTAATAATGATATAATATATTTGATCATGTCAGGATCGTGCCAAATGAAAGTCCATAGTCTCTGCCTACCCCTCTGGGTGAAAGGCGTGAGTGCTTATGAATTTTGATTATGATTCTATATTGGTGCCCATGAATATACTCTTGTTGGAAACCTTACACAACTATCTAATGCAAATAGGCGAATATATAAATTACTTCGTTTATCTGGTAAGCGAATTAGTGATCGCAACATCAGACGTGTTACAACTATGAAGCCGTTCTCGGGTAAATTTACTTATTTTTTATATAGTACAATAGATAAAATAATAGTCACTGATTAAACAATCTTACTACGTAACCATAGTCGTATTCATAGTTAGTAGTGGTTCAAAATTCAAATATTAATCGAACTTTCGAAGTAGGAATTTGAGTGGTCAAATAGGACAATAAATTCATATCAACCACATCACTAGTCGTGTACATTGTGTGCTAGGCTTCGTTCTTCAAACTTCTCGAAATTTTAAGCGTTACTAACTTATTTTATTATTTATTTAATAAAAGTTTTACCACAGAATAAATCTTACATTATTTTGCAAATGAACATTCGCACCGAATGCAAGTAAGTGCTCCACAATACCTCTGCAGCCCTGTGCGCACGCCATTTGTAACGCCGTTACGCCATTCTGCACAAAAAAAAAGTTATTATTATTAAAAAAAATTCCATGTGTTTGCCGCCGTGTAGTGACGGCGCAAGAGAATCCTTTACCTTATGTCGTCCTGGTGGTGAAACTGAAACGGGATGGGCGGCACTCCTGAACAACTCTAAATATTAAAAAAAAATGCGGCTGCCAACCCGCCTGTGAAGTGTGGCAACTATGGCAAAATCTTCCTATGATGGTAATCTAAGGGCGAGGCCTATGTTCGATAGTGGACTTTTGATAGGCTGCTTATGGATTAATGGAATTTTCCATTTTGTAAGCCTGGGCTGGGTAACACAGCAAAACATCTTGAATTGGCGCAATAACACAAGCGCATTGTGTTGGCATACTGTGCCATCATCATCATCATTATAGCCCTTCAGAAATCCAATGCTGAACATAGACCTTTCCCAAAGAACACCACAATGCTCGGTCCTGAGCCACCTGCATCCATCGACTTCCTGCATATCTTACCAGGTCGTCACTTCATCTAGTAGGGGGCCGTCCTACACTGCTTGCCGGGACGAGATTGTAACTCGAGAACCTTTTTTTCTTCTTCCTTCTTTCCCACCGGTTGTCGGTTGTTCGATCTATATGGCCTGCCCTTTGAGCTCGAAGAGCACGCCTAGACCCTTTGGCTAAGTCTGTTACTCTGGTTATACTGAGGATATCATCATTTCTAAGTCTATCACGCAGAGAAACCCCGAGCATAGCCTTCTCCACAGCTCGCTGAGCGACCTTGATCTTCCTCAAGCGGCCAGCAGTGAAGGACCACGTCTCAGATCCATATGTCTTCACTGGCAACACCCACTGGTTGTCTGGTTGTCATTCTTGTTTGCAAGTTTTAAGATATACCTGACGAGAAGATGTGTCATAATCTCCCGAACGCTGCCGTAAAACCGTAGAATTGACCTCTCGGTCGATGTTGGACTACTAGGGTTCTGGTTTTCACCGAAGTGAGTTGACATGTGGCGTAGCGCTGTGTTACCCAAACCTACCAAATAGTAGGAGAAGGATCAAACACATGGTTACAAGCAACAAACTATCACTCTCTGAAAAGTATAAGAGTCCGAGAATCTTCACTGCCATAGATGCAGTGAACTGGTGAAGACAACATTCTACTCCGAAAGCACGCTATTTCGGATAGTTCTCTAGTCTTTAAAGCTGTGCTTCTAGTCTTCGAACGAGTCTTTAGAACCTATTTTTTAAACAGATCTTGATTTCATCAACGGCAGATGAGGCCTCAGTATCGTCACTGTGACTGCTTTTTTGCTTTATATTTTTAAAAAAAAGCAAACTAAAAATTAAACAAGCCCAAGGCATAAAACAGTTAAAAAACCCACATGCCTAAAAAATATTGAAAAGAGAGAAATTTATACACCCCATGTTCAGTCATTTTACACGAAGACGAATCAAATTTACCTTTGATTATTTATAATCAAAGTGTAAAAAACCATATCTATCAATCCAAAGACCAACAGAGCGAGACACACATATCCAAGTAAACGTAGTGATTATATTCTCTTTGTATCCAAGCTACACATCATACCCATACATTAATTTATTATCTCGAAAAATATACTACTGGTATACTGGATATACTGGTATAAAAAAAAGACATCAAAAAAGTATGAGCGACCATGAGCAATGTCGTGCTTACTGGGAGTACATAAAAACACTATGTACCTACTTGTACTTTTGAACACCACAGTATTTTTTAATCTGTGACCACAGTATAATGAGATTATTATAAGTAGTTTTGGCGGGAAATTGACCGGCGGCGGTTTGCTGCTCCTGTATTATTGTTTAAATAATGGTTTGAAGTGGACTTTGATATGTAAAAGTGTTGCGATTTTGTGTATTAAGTGTCTACGCATGTGAACTATTAGTGGAAACAGTGAAACAAGTGCTCTGATGGTGATGGATTCTCAAGATAAGCTGTTTGTTTGCATAGGCACCTTTAGATACCATCGCCAACTATCAGCTGTCTGCTGGATCAAGTTGCCGCCAAAATCTCCCAAGAACTGCACAATGTGACGCATCAACATATTGTGAAGCAGTATACTATGAAGGAGTGGGGAAATTACAATAAACCGAATAAAAATACTTAAGACTTGGCCTAAAGGTCTAGATACCAGGCCATAAACTCCAAAAAAAAAGAGATTATTATAATATTGTCTTTATATTGCCGTATAACTCATAGATAACACTATAATCTATGTCAAAGAAAATATACACCTAAACACCTATGTGGAGTTAAGTGTCCGCAATTCATCAGTTTGAATTAAAAAAAATATTTTTTAATTCATACACTGATTTGTCCGCGCAAGTCACAAAATCCTTTAAATTAAAAAAAATATTATTTTTAATTTAAACTAAGCTACTTAGAGATTTATAAGCAAGCTAATAAATACTAAGCTGATCTCTATCTACTCTCTCAATCAACTTCAACGAGAACTTTCCAACCAGGATTACAGGGCCAATCCACATTTTAATCACTAGGTAAACATAATTAAACTAACATTATCAGTAGTATCGACTTCACAGTCCGTCTCGAGTAGAGTTCGTACGAGTTCAGTGTGTCTGTGAACAGCGGCAATATGGAGAGGAGTGCGGCCCGAGTTGTCTCTCGCTTCGCGCGATGCTCCTTTGGATACTAGGAGAACAGCGGTGTCTGAGTGACCTCCTTCGCATGCTACATGTAGCGCTGTACGTCCAGTCTGTAATAATAACATAATGTTAATTAAATAAGTAATGGACATAACTGCAATCTTAAAACAGGAAACAAAAGGTCGGTTAGTCCATTTTTTACTCCTCCATAATTTACCCTAGGAGTAATAATGCTATTTGTGTACTAATTTATTTCTCCTAGATTATTCGTACAAATGAATGTACATTTAAAAGAAAATTACTTGTAATACAAAAACTTGTATTACAAGTCAATACAATAATACTATTTATAATCATTCCAATATCAATGCAAAATAAGGTACTCGTAATATAGACTTATCAGCTTGATCAAAAACACTACGCTCTTGTAATTTTTTTATTCTAATTTCTTCTTTAACATAAGTAGGTACCTATTGTGAGTTTTACTGTTTATTTCTAAGTATTACTAAATTTCTTTTTAACGGTGTTTATGTGAGGCATCGATATATTATATTATGTACTACGTACTAGAGAAGCCATTCCGAACATTGACTATGTTCAACTGAACTGTACTGCAATCCGTACAAACTAAATATTGCGTAAATTGAAGATTTGTAAATTCTATAAAATAATTATTATTACATTTTATTTAGAAATATGTTTGTTTAGATTAAAGTAAGAGTATTTTATATTAAATTCTTATATATATTTTATATTAATATCTTATAACTATATTAAACTCTTCGCGCATGCGCGACTCTATCTCCCGCGCATGCGCGAAGACATAGACTAGCGCACAATTTTTGTTTGAAAAAGCTTCTCTAGTACCTACGTAGTATATATAACTCAATGATGTGAGGTTATATCTAATAGCAAAAATATTTCTTAATTTATATTTACTTTTTTACATTTCATACAACGTATGAAATGCAATAATTTAATGATAATTAAGAAAATTGAAAAAAATAAAAATTATATTAACTTATTTTCTTACATCAAAGGAATTTAATTATAACAGACTAGATACTTCACTCAAATGACCTCCTAACATTATTATATTTTTATAATTTATGTACTTCATGAATGTGGTGATGAAGGTTCCGAATATAGCATGTGTTTTCTGTTTTTTTTTTCTTAAAAATAAACATGTTTATCATATAAAGTCTAGGTTACAAAACATACTAAATATTTTATTAAATTTAATTAACTAGGAGTAGGACTGAATTAAGGTATAGCGTATTAGTTTTAGTTTTTTTTTTTAATTAAGTGCCTATAGTTTTTAATATTCTATATATAAAGTAGAGCGTTCTTGGCACGATACACGATACCACGGGGAGTAGAACTGTAGGTATGACTATTTATATTTTTAGTTTTAGTTTTTCTTTATTATAGTTTTTATGCTATTAAACCTGTGTAACCATTTAGTTAAATTTAATTTTATACTATGTTTTAACAATGTAAATAAATGAATTTAAATAAAAACTTATTTTTAGAGTAGAGCCATGCTGCAGCTATATTATGGTTGTAGCACGAATGGGTCGGCTCGAACGGGGAAGAACCACGCTCTCACAGAACACCAGCGTAAAATAGCAGCTTAACGCTACTGTGTTTCGTATGGTGAGTGTAGAGAACCGGAGACCCTTTTTACTGGAAACGAGGCATTCCATCAAAGTCCTCACGGGTGACAACGCATCTGCATTTTAATTCGTAATCGAAGATAGATGTAAATGTCTATGGGCCACAGCAACCACTTACCATCAGGTGGACTGTGTGCTCGTAGAGGAAAGTCATATATTTTTTCTTACCCGTTAAATATACTATTTGAAAAAGACTTTGAGGGGAATATAATCAATATACAACGTGTAACAAAAACCTTGTGGTTCCCGTTAAGTACGTTATCAGAATCATTATTCAAAAGTATATAAATAACTTTTTTTGAGAAACTCGAACAATATATTTTTTATTTTATTTAAATGAAATAATTGTATGCAAACTGTATGTGGTTTTATTACCTCTGCATTGTCTGGGAAGTAAGAGGATTGTCAAAGACCCCGCTTTACTTAGCTCTAACATCGGCTAGTGTCAGTAAGAGGTAATAAAACCACATAAAATTAAAAAACAAAATTAACAAAATTAAAAAAATATGGACGAGTTTTTAAAAAAAAAGTTATTTCTATAGGTTCAGTACTGATCCTGATAACGTACTTAACGGGAACCACAGGGTTTTTGTTACATGTTGTATACACTTCTTCCTTATAATTATCATTACAGTCCCTCACAAGTTCACTGCCACTGCTGAACAAAGTCCTCCCCTATAGATTGCCACAAAGCACGGCCTTAAGCCATTGAGTTATATGTACTACGTACTAGAGAAGCCATTCCAAACAAAAATTGTGTCCTATTCTGTCTTTGCGCATGCGCAGGAGTAGTATTCGCGCATGGGCGAAGACTTTAATTTGATATAAAATAAGATATTTATATAAAATAAATATAAGATTTTAATATAAAATATCTTAATTTAATCTAAACAAACATATTTCTAAATAAAATGTAATAATAATTATTTTATGGAATTCACAAATCTTCAATTTACGCAATATTTAGTTTGTATGGATTGCACTACAGTTCAGTTGAACATAGTCAACGCTCGGAATGGTTTCTCTAGTACGTAGTACATATAACTCAATGCCTTAAGCTAACAACTCTAACAAGACAGAAGGCCAAGACGAAGAAGGAGCTAATCGCCGTCGCTTCGCGTCCACACGCGTAGTAAATCAGGTGGACTGTGTGCTAGTTTGTCACCCTTATTTTATAAAAAAAATGAACACATATATATATATATATATATATATATATATATATATATATATATATATATATATATATATATATATGGTACAGCAACGCTGCAGCTATATTATGGTTGTAGTACGAATAGGTCGGCCTGATCGGGTAAGGACTACGCTCTCACAGAATACCAGCGAAAAATAGCAGCTTTATGCTGCTGTGTCTTGTATGGTGAACGTAGTGAACCAGATCTGTGGGCCATTTATTTACCATCAGGTGGACTATATGTTCGTTTGTCACTCTTATTCTGTTAAAAATAGAGTAAATTACTCTATTTTTTTTAGACTTGTGATTTAGAAACGTATTGGAAAATTAAATATAGTTTTTCTAACTACTTTTAAATTAACTATTTACTTTTTAATTAAATTGAAACTCTCTTGCAACACACTTAAATATCCATCGCGGCTCGGATTTGGGTCGCAAGTCGTAACAGAGGTTAAAAACTGTACGTATAAACATGTATATTTACAGTAATAAGTAACTACAATAGTAGTTACAAAGGAATATTATAATTATTAGTATTCCTTCAGTTTAAGATTCGTTGTTACTTTTTAATTAAACTGGAACTCCCTTGCGACATACTTATACAGGGTTATTTTTCAATAATCGGCCAAATTTCCAGAGAAGGTTTAAGTAATATAGGCAACTGGAGAAGAAAAATTAATTAAAAAATCTCAAACATTCTGTTCTTTTTATCTTTTAAATTCAAAATGTGTGGTAATGCATTATTTTAACTGATCGTGATTCATTAATATCTATTTTACTACGTACGCACACATTCGTAAGCGTCGATGGGTCGGCAAAAACGTTGTGAATTGAATCGCACACAGAAGAGCGCGCGTACGCGTAGTTGTGGCCTATAAATCACATTCAATTTGGGATAATTTCAAATAATAGTAGAATTCTTATTTACTCGTATTTTCAAAAACTGCAATAACGGTATATAATTATTTATATATTTCAACTTAATTTTAAAATTTGGCTACTCTGAAACATAACCCTGTTGTCCATCACGGACTTAATTTAGGTTGCAAGCCGTAACAGATGTTAATAACTATACGAATAAAAATCTATATCTAAAGTAATAAATCAGTCCTAATTAGTAACTAAGGATTATTATTATTATTATTAATACATCCATCAGATGCGGATTACATGTTAAGAGCGCCCTAGGCTAGCACCACATCATCGGCGCTACACAGGCGGTATGTATATTAAATTATTATAATTATAATCTATAATATAGCTTAGTTGTAAAATAATTAGGACACATGTAACCTTAGCAGGTGGGCGTGAATAAAACATGTGATGAGAGAGTGCAGGTGCAGATGCAATGCAGGAGTAATCAAGTAGTCGGGGCGTGCTTCAGAAAAGTATGATTTTTTGTGTATAAGAAATAACAAACATAAAAAAAATGTTTATTTAAACAACTAGGTGGTACATATTATAATGTACAACGTAAGATAATAAAATAGAAGTAAAATAATCTTATTTCTTTAGTCATCATTATCATCGTTACAGTCCTTCACAAGTCCACTGCTGAACATAGGCCTCCCCCAAGGAACATAGGCCTATTTCTTTAGTATATTTGCTTTGCTTTGCTTATCTTCACGCACAATCCCTGACGGGGTAGCCAGAGAGAACAGATCGCCAAGTGTCACGATCCTTACAAACCTCTTTCGCTTCTTTCAGATTCATTATCTTCTTCACGCATGCACGTCTAGGTATCCGAGTACTCTTGACCCTACCTACCTCTTTAGTATATTGATCATAATTTATTAACTTATCACACCAAGTTGGCGTGTAGAAACTAGGGTGTACAATTCTGTGACTCTCACATACGGCATGCGTGTGTCGAGAGGACTTGCTACGAATTTCTTTTCACAAATGACTTTCATAAATTTAACAATGAGTCGACGTGCGATTAATAAGTTACGAAACCTTAAAAAAAGGATAGTTAAATAAAAGTTAGGTAGTTACTTATTTTTTTCGTTTAAGAACTTTTTAACCTTGTGCCCCTAGGCACAAATCCGCCACTGACTTCGATTTATAGAGCCTTTTGGAATTTTTTACATGTCATGAGACACGATGGCATTACTTTGGTCTCTTGAAGGAGGTAAAGCCTCTGTGTGGGAAGCTTCGTGCGTAAACATTTTGCGGCTCACATCTAGGACCATCTCTCTATAAAGCTTATTGTAATCATGTGGTAAATAAAGGTTGTTAT